GCAGAAAGTTTTTGGCTTTGAGGTCCGGATTATAGATCATTCCGGATTATGGGTGTCCGAATTAACGACTTTTGACTGTACCTTGTTTTTAGATAATTGGTATTCGTCTCCTAATTTATTCAAAGAAAAAATACAAATGTTGTTGGAAGAGTGAGAAAAAATCGGAAAAATATACCAAAGAAGCTGGCATCGTATAAGCTAAAAAAAAGGAGAAGTAAGAAAACTGCCATGTAGAGGTATTCTGACCTTAGACTGGCATGAGAAGAAGGATGTGTATATAATAAGCACGAAACACTCAAAAGCAGAAATGGTTGACATGGGGAAAATAACACGAAAGAATGAAAGCGAAGAAGAAAGTATGTTGAAACCAACCTATGTTGCAGAGTACAATCATTGAATGGGAGGTGTCGACAGGCAAGACCAATGTCTTGCATGTTTCTCTCTAATGGAAAAATCTCTAAAAGGCTAAAAAAAGTTATCTTTTATATGGTTTGATGTAGCTATTTATAATTCTTATTTCTTATATTACAAGTTGCCCACTTTACAAAAGCAATCAATTGTTAATTTTCAACTGAATATTGCAGAAGATATGCTCTGTAATATATCCCTTCCAAACTATCCGACACGCTGCAGACCGTCGCAAAGTGAACGCCTAACTCAGTTACAAACAAACATTGGGCACACTTTCCTGAACATATACCTGCAATAAATAAAAAGCAACATCCTGCAAAGACATGCCATTTGTGGAGAAAACATAATATAAGAAGTGAAACAACTCGCCAATCTAGCTAATCTGGAGAGGTTACAAGTCAGCACATGGTAGAAGTTTACGAGCCTTTGATTCTGAGTGTGTGTGTGTGTGATTATGGCAAAGCCTCGAGGGCTATCTGCCTAAGGGGAGGGTTGCCTTCGTGGAGGACTTTCTAAGGGAAACTGGCTCGTATACACGTTACACATGGGGAAAATCACGAAAACGCCCATGCAGCCAGCCCGTTCGCGGGATTCGAACCTCGGACCGAACTACCAGTGTTCAGCGACTTTACCGCTTGGCCGCTGGTGGGCCCTCCTTTGATTCTGAATGGATCAAAGTTGCTATATTGAATCTGGTTATTACGTTATTATTTGAAGAAAGTAAGGGAAAATTTTATACTTTCAGTGATTAATAGTCATGTTTTCTTCACTTACATAAAATTTTATAAATGATGCCGGTCTAGGAAATGCTATTCTCCTAGATTACATTCAGCCATTTTTTTTTTGTTTGTTGTTGTTGTGGTTGTTTTACTTAGTGAATGAGCCAAATGATTCATTTTCAGCATTTGGTCCTGCTAATGACGTAGAATACCAAATTAATAAATTGGAAGTTTTCTGTTTTGAACTTATAATATATGTCTTTAATTTTTCTATTGCTACATTGTTTTTTAATCAAATGTTTAAATGTTTACCTTAAAACATACTGTAATTAAGCAGAAAAAGAGCAGTAGAAAACAGCTTAATGTAAAAAGAAAGGCAATAGTAACATGATTAATGGTTAAGAAATCTGTTCTAATGCTTAGAAATAAAGCATGTAACTTTAATTTATTTATCAAATTTGAATACTTATTTGTTGTTTTTAATATTTTCCCTTAAAATCCTTTTGTCATTTTTTAAATTTAGTTTCATAAATTTTCCTTAATATATAGTCTTTAACTCAAAGACATTCCACAATTAAAAAATGAAATTTTTGATAAAACACTGATAATTTTGTTCCATATCTGAGTTCATTTTTATATTGAATTTTCATCTAGTTGTAATTACTGAAATAAGTTTAAAGTCCTTCATGAAGGCATTTCTTTTTTATTAGATAACATTCAAATGATCTGCCATAATTAAAGAAAGAAAATAAATGCAAGTAAGAATTCTTGCTCAGTTTTAAATAAATTTATTACTGTTCACTGTAACCTCAGGTTTCTCTATACATAATTTTCCCAGTCAAAAAATGATGGTCATGTCATTTAGAATTGCACAAAAACAATAAGAAGTTAGTATTTTGATCCAAAAAATTATTTGAATTATATTTAATTAAATCATGTAATTTGATATTTCAGTGGAACCTCGAGATACGAGTTTAGTTCATTCCAACATTGAGCTCATATAGCGAATTTCTCGTATCTAGAAACAATTCCCCATTGAAAACAAAGGTAATACAGTTAATTCCGTTCCGCACCCCTAAATATATCAAAATTAAAAAAAAAAATAAATAAATAAAAAAAAATTCTAATAAATAACACTGGTAACTAATATAACCATAGTTTACCTTTATGATAGGTTCCGAAACTGAATTGCCTTTTAACTGCTTCTCATTAATTCACATCATAGACAGCTTCTCAACATCTAGGAGTTTTCGACATTGCTTGGAAGTAACAGTAACTCCTTTGATCCTTTTACCACATCAAGTTTCTCAATTTCTTCCTTCTTTTTCAGAATAGCACAGATCGTCGATGTCGAACATATGTCTTCACCAATTCCATCACTTTTACACCATGCTTATGTTTATCCATGATTTCTTTCTAATTTCAATGGAGCCTGGCTTCCCTTTTTTTTTTTTTTTTTTGGCAGCACTATCTGAGGCAACAATCTTTTGGGGAGGCATTATGAAACAATTATTTTCACGTTAAATGTAAAAAACAATTAACTCACAAGCATACAAACACGTAGATAAAAGAATACTGAGTGATCTTACGAGGGGACTCCCCGAGCCGACCAGATCGAGATATAGTGCCACGCATACCAACAGCCTGCTTCACTTCTCGTTACTTAAGTCAGTGCTCATATTTAGAGACTCACACTTTGCTCATATCTCGAATTTCTCGTATACAGGTGATCGTATCTCGAGGTTCCACTATATCCAGATTTTTTTTTTAAATGAAAATTGTAAATGCACAAAAATGCTTACATAAAATCAAGAAATTGTTCATATTTTTGTTGCTTTTTCTTTGTAAATAAAAAAAAAAAAAAAAAAAATATTACAGCCTGGTGAGTCGTATAATTAAGACATCAAATCTACCAGACCATTAAAGAGACAGATTTGGGATTTTCTGTTTCACAGTTATTGAAATCATAATAGCACATTTGTTTGAATTTTTATTGTTTGTTATGAATCTGACAGAAATACATTCTAATAAGCTAAGAAATGATTTATTATCTATTAATTGTGATAATTTAAGCAAAAATTGCACTATGCATTTAAGAGAGGAAAAAAAAAAGTTTATACTATCTATCATGATCTTCCAGATTTACCAATTCTATAATAGTGCAGTATGAGATTCCCCTCCCCCCCCAAAAAAAAGACAGAAGTTTTCTCTCAGCATATCTTGAAGATAAGTACAATTATGTTGTTGAATGGATTATTACTTCTGCACAGAAAGTAATTTTATTGATTTAACATCTGCATAAATAAAACTCTTTTTTACAGTGATAACAATTCTTAAGCTAACTTGAAATTTTTACTTAGGAAATATATACTATGTCATGTAACTATTAGTTTTCCATGGAATAGAAAAGGTGGCAAAATATTTTCAAGTATTGAAAGGGGACAATATAAATGTGATTGCCCTAGATTCAGATGGAAATGAAACTATGATATTAGATTGAGAAAAATAATGAAACCGAATTTTCAGATAGTGAAGATTTCTGTATAATCTAAGAATTCTAATTAAACTCTTAATTAATGTTATTCCTATAAAATCATGTATTGCAACAGAACTAGCATGATTACTACTTGCACTAAATATGTTTTCTGAAAATTCATGCTTAAAGTATATTTTCTAAAAATATGCTACATGGTTATTTTTTACAAGGAGAAAAAATAAAATGTTACAGAAATTAGTTAAAAGCTGTTATTTATTATTTTAAAATTAAACTGAAAATAATTAACTAGTTTTTAAGAATGGAGTAAAACTACGTTTGATTTCAACTCTAGCAATCTAAGTTAATGGTGTTTTGCTATAATAAATATGAAGTTTCTGTTTAAGTGTAATAACTTAAATTTGTTTTTCTAGAGAATGAAGCAAAGAATGTGTGGAATATGTTATTAAGTAATGCTATGAAGTCGTGTTGGATATATTGCAATGTAAGGTTCTATTCTACATTAGCTCAATTAAACTTTATATCCTGCTACAGATTTAATCTTGTGTTCCTGAAAAATAAATTTATAAAATTTTAGAGAAAATGCAAAATAAGACAAAGGTAGCATCTAATCAAATTTAGTAAGTTAACTATCTTTTCACAAGTTAAGAAAAATTTTCGAATTAAATTTGATTTTCCAATTTTATATGTTACGTATTGGTTATTATTACTATTACTATTATTGTTGCTGTTGTAATCTAATTATTATTATTTATTTACATATTCCATGTCCTTTTCACTAATATTACTTATTATATTATGTATTTTAAAGGACCTTGATAATTTCAATAACATTCTTTTTACTTGCACAAAATACTTATTTATTGCTATTTATTCAGCATACATTTTTATAACAAATCAGAAGGTTTTAAATCATATGCTGAAAAATTTATGGAGTAAAGCATACAAAAAGGGGAAAATATGCAGGTAAGTAATGATATTTAGTGCTATTTCAGTCTGTTTCAAATATTTGTATTATAATGCAAAATTTACCAAATGTTAGTTTATATTCTATTTTAAACCAAAAGGCTCCTTTGCACCCAAATAGCTAAACCAGTACTTAACTTCTTTTCCTAATAAATAGTCCAGCTGCATGGAGTGCTCTCAGTTTCTGCGATGTGTAATATACACATGATTGGCTGTTTTTTAATATATCATTCATGAAACTATTCCTTCTTTGGTAGATTTTTTACATATTTTGCCTTAATAAAATCATCCTGCTAGCTAAGAATGTATTAATTATCACGTTAAACTAAAATTTAGTAACTGCTCTTAGCTAGTAAAGTATATAATTTTACATATGCTGTTTTACTTAAATTATTGTGTATTTAATTGGGTGTAAGCAAATGCATATGTATTAACATTTACACAGAAATTATATTTTGTGCACATAATTAATTAATTAATTTGTAGGTTAGTTTTTAGAAAATTTATTAATGCTTAATACCATATTAATATTGCTAAAAGAACAAAATTCTATGATTTTTACATAAGAGTTTACATTTTAAACGGACTTTTTGAAATAGCTATATCAAATTGTAGAGGCAAAAGCTTGATATGGATCATGAATTAAACATACATACAAATTTTCATTTATTTTCAAGTTACAACTGAATTTTTTCACTGTATTACTTGTGAACAAAGTTTGCAACAAATATTCCCTGCAATTGAAATGAGAATTTCTATTTTGCCAAGACAGGAAATTTGCATAGTAAAAGCAATAACCCTACTTTGAGATGTTAGAAAAGAAGAAAAGATATTGAATTTTAACTGATTTATTAAGGAAGACTTCAAAATCTTAGTCTTGCTATCATTCTATATGGCTTTTTTAAACTTCTTTACAATATTATTTTTATTTATCTTTCTGCTTGCTTTCTTATTTTGCTGAGAATGCCCACGAATATATACATAATATATTGTATATTACAAACTAATATGCACTTAATTATAAATGTGTATTCTGATTCATTCAATGTATGCTTTGGAACTTGGAATGCTAAATATAAATTCAACTATCATAAGAACGAATTAAGACACAATAACTTCTGAATTAGTATCATAAGAACGTTCGAAAATTTCCCTCTTTTTAATATAAATGCCCATAAGTGTGACGTACTTCCTTCAGCTTTTAACATGTCTTCCAAATTTCTTACTATTTCCTTTACGATACAAAGTTCATTAAAAATATCATCACCATTTATTTCTAAATGCTTATCAATTTTATAGCAATCTTATACAGCTGAAATATTATTTTTTAATTAAATTTTTAACTAGAAACATAATTTTTTAAATTAATTTTTTGTAACTAAAGTAATAAATTCATTTTTGAAATCATGTCAATTAGTAAGATATTTCAACAACGCTCGAATTTCTACCAAAAACGGACAAGTTAACTAATCGGAACAATGATTCTAAAAACCGGCCTGGTGGCAACAATGGGATAAAGGCCATGTGTGAATCAGAAGATGAATTAAGCAGTTTTCAAATAAATATTCCAGTTAATCATTTGGTAAAGGCAGGATACTGATAATCTTTGATGACTATTAAAATATTCTTGCTTCAATATTAAAACAGGAACTTATCACTAAATGGTTAAATGCCAAAACAAACCTTGTCCTCCCAGAATGAAGAATTACTACCTTCATTATTTAAATTATATAATACTGTATCCTTACTACTGTGATTTTAAATTGTTGCGTTTTAATTGTTGAGATAAAGCAATTTTTATACTTAAATCAGTTCATTAAAATAAAATAATAGTATATATTTCCTTCGCTTACGTATGTGGATGGAAGAAGTAAATTTTAAAATTCAACTTTTTTATTTTACATTAAAATTTGCGATAAGAATGCTTTAATAATAATATAGAAAATTAACTTTTATTTTTAAAATTAGAATTCGAGCTGCATTTTATACATACTTTTCTACAGCACTGTAGACATACTAGTTTCTTTGCATGCTATAACATTTGTAAGCTCTTTTCCTTTTTTTTGCTCGGGAGACAAATATAGGACGTTCTTTTTTTTTTTTTTTAAACATCTTCGATCGCAATGTTTCCTCCTTCATCATCATTTATTCCGAAAACTCGGTAAGATTGAAATAATACGAGTGCATTATTGCACATATAACCAAGTTTCTGAAGAATATTGCCATAGGCCAACGTAGGGTTCGACGAGCAGTTGAATAGATTGAACGAAGAATATTGTGACTACGAGTTCGAACACCCTTTTGGGCTCTTGAATAGACCATTTGAATTAATTTTTTCAATAAAAAATCTCTTGTAGAAGTACAACATGAATTTTCATTTTCATCGGCATAGATATTTCTGAATTTGTGTCGTGGTCGCTCTCAATAATTTCATCATTTGAACTTTAATCAGAGAACTGTATATTAGACCAATTTCGAACTATTTATTCAATTTGGTTTTGGGTAAGATACATAGAACGTTTCCTGCACGCATTTAAAGCCATTTCAAGCATATTTATAAAAAAGCGAAATATGTAACAACACGAAAAGTGAACTTTATCGGCCGAAATTTGGATCGTATCTGCTGTGATCGGTCCGCTGAGGGAGGAAAATTTTAAAAAATAAAAGAAGAAATAGAGCTAGCCAAATGCAACTTGGTATGTGACCTTGGACAACTGGTTTAGGAAGATACTAAGAGTGGCAATACCCATTAATTATTCTAAGGGGTGAAAGCATTTAAATGTCGCGTGGTCTGAGAAACCGTTCACAGCAGTTAAAGGTTAAAGTATTTTTGTTTAACAAAATAATCAGACCTTAGCTTTCCAAACAGCACTGCAAGGAAATGCTTTGCAAGTTTGTAATGAAATTGTTTTATTCCGATCACCTTAGCAGAAAATATTAGGTTTCAATACCTATGGCTAAATAAAATTAGTTTTTTAAGAATTTTTTTTCGGGGGGGGGGAGTATTTTTTCAATAATTCTACCACATAATTTTTTTTTTCTACCACACACTGCTAAATACGGTTACCAAGTATAATACAAAACTCTCACATTTAATACATAGGCTTGTAATCTCCAGTTTTACCCATATAAAAACACTTTCTTATAAATTATTATTTTTGAAATTTTTTAACTAAATTTACATCATACATAAATATTTATTCAAATAAAAATTCCTTACCATACAGGCATCAGCCAACGCTTCTTTTATCATATAATTAAAAGAATCCAGGTGAAATTTCGCCACTTCTCGTAAATGGCAGGGTTTTTTAACATGGTTATCTCGTTTTCGGAAATCTTCCTGAAATTATCAATATGAAAATAAAATTCGGGTGATAAAAATTTTTGACAAAATTCATATACAGCAAAATTTAAAAGACAAAGCTCTCTTACCATAACCCCTGTCATACTTCTCAAAACGCGCTTAAATGTGCATGTTATTACAATAACGGAAGTGAGAGCAATCGGTAAACGAAATACTATTAACCAATAGCAAACAAGGCCACTTTTTCATTTATCAGCTATGTAAATAAACCTATCGTTCTAGTAAACAATAAAGAAAAATAAGATTTTCTTTCATTCCTTTACCTGAGAAATAAGTACATAAAATTGAAAAAGATGGAAAAAGTACCTAATTTTTCTATTTAAAATTTTACGGCAATAAAAAAGATATCTTTTCTTCGTGTTCAAAAATTGGGGAGTCCCCGTTTTTGGTGAAAGTGCTGCCATCTAGTGTTTAAAGTTTAAACTAATTTCGATACCATAGCCATCAAAAGTAAAATATATTATTATTTTATTTTCTGAAGATTTGAGATTTATTGCAACAAGAGTGGAATCTGTGACTTTTCTCAACGGAAATGGTATTTTATTAGAACCTAAGATTTGTTTATGATCTAATGATCATATAATAATAAAAGATGGATATCCTCACGATTGCTATCAAATCTTTTATTTATTCTACCGCCGACTTTTAATATAAGGAACTTTTTTTTGCGGCTGTTATAAAGCTAAAATTTTCAGCATGATATACTAACAGTTTTTCGTTGAGATAAAGCATATATAGTGTGTGCATGCATGTAACATAAAAAATATATAAATCAAAATAGTACTAACTTAAATTTACAATAATGCCATAATTCTCTATTTTCGAAATTTCCCGTCTCCATCCTTTCCATAATGCTGGCGACGCAGATAATTTTGAAGTGGAACTCGATATTGTAAACTAAAGACCAAATCCTTTTTAACTAAGCTTCATATTCGAATATATCAGCTTACTTTCGGTTTTTCTTGATTATAAGATTTCTTATTATGATACTCTGTCACGCTCATTCTCTTCTTATTGTATGTGCACGACTATATATATATTTTCTTCATTTCTAAATCATCATATATGTATAGATACAGAGCTATAGCTAGGGTTTTCGGCACCTGGGGACAAGTGAAGATCTCGCCCCCTCTTGTTTGTTAAGAATGGAAAACATTTCATTCTAAATTCCTAACATCAGTTCGTGCTCCCTGAAAGGGCTGTGCCCGGGAACAGATGTTGCCAAATTTATACAAATTTCATCTGCCATGTATTAACATGCAATTTATGAGCAAAGGTGTTTTCCTTGATCAAAAGGCTACATTTTAAATTTCCTGGAATTTCTTCATATTTCAGATGTTTCAGAATAATTATGGAAATATGCGATTTGATTGTTAATTCAGTTTATATAATCATACAAATATTTCAAGAAAAAATTTTTTTCTTCTATAATTCTATAATTACATTAAAGTTTTTATTAATTTTGTTGCTTGCACTATGCATGTTTTTCTTTGTTGGGTTAAATCTAAAATGACACTAATGTGGGGAGGCAGGTCAACCATTATGGTGCAGTTAACAGTTACAGTAACAGTAAATATACCAGAAAATTTCAAAAGAATATTTCTATGTAAAGTTAGTGCAATCAAATTTTACAAACAGCAAAGTCTAAGATTGTGCTAAACGAAAATCTGCCAATTTGATGAGTGGCAAGAAAAGAACAGTACTAAAACAGAAAAGTACTAAAACAAAGGATTAGATTAGATTAGTTTTGTATATTATGCAAAGTACATAAAATATATCAGCCTTAATTCTATCACAGTTTTGACCAAGGAGTCTGCAGTGGGGGATGGAATCCAAGTGTCTCATATATCTCTTTCTTTATCAAGAGCCCATCAAGAGGCTTTCCAGCTTAACATATTTTATGTGTCCTCGTGTCACAAAAATCTCTACAACCACGAAAGATTTTGCTTTGGCCAGGATTTGAAGTTGGATTCATGAACAGACTTGGACAACGTGAGGAACTATCAGACTGTATTAACCACCATACTGTTTGTGATGGCAACAAACTATAGAATACTGTTATAAAAATAAAATAGACATCATTACAGATTTTCTAAAGAAGTTATATGAACATGCATTATTTTTTTAGCATAATAAGATGACATATTTGTCTATCACATCCTGGAATGCAAATTATCTGTTAGGCAAGAAAGAACCTAATAATTTCAATGACTACATAAATCTAGATATAATCTTTAAAACAGAAAAAAATAGTAAAAAACATCCTTTATATTAATTTCAAACAAATAATCATATAAGATAGACATATTTACAAAAGTGATAGCATTATCTCTTACAGGTATTTAAAAACATTTATCAGTGCTGATGCAATTACAATACATATTATATTCACAGTATAGTAGCATACATATAAAATACAAAACTATGCTTATTAATAAGAAGCCTAAGAAGACAACTGATCACACAGAAAACACCTTTAATAAAAAAATTAGGTTATTAGTAGAGATTTTCAGATGACCATACTGAAACCTTGCTTATACTAAAACCATATTGAAACTTTGCTTATACTGAAACCATACTGAAACCTTGCTTATACTGAAACCATACTGAAACCTTGCTATCTTCGAGACTCATATCCTAATCCTAACAAATAAAAATGTTTTACTTCATATGATCCAAGTACTGCATTTTCTATCTCATCAAATTAACTTACACATATTCACTACTATAATAGTTTTAAGTTATCTGAATATTTGCAATAAAAAGCTTGTCTTACCACTACTTTATCAAAGTACTTTCAGCACGTTCATTCTGTATTTAATTAATATAATTAATAATGCAATATTTCTATATCGACTCACTATATCTTATCACCTAGTGTTTGAAATGCTATATTATTTCAACATGGTGTAAATTAAGTATACATATTTATATGATTATATAACTCAATACAGTGAAAGGTGCCAAACGAGTTTTATGAATCTTGTTGAAAAATCGTAAGAAGAAAGGAAATTTTTTTTAAGTTGGTATACACCAGCAACTGAAAGACTAATGACCCACAGATCCTTCCTTTCAACTCTATGTGATCTTAATGATATTAACAATAGTCCTTCCTACACCTAATCATTAGGTTTTCTCACAGGAGTTTCCACTCCTGTGAGAAAACCTAATGATTAAATTTAGATAAGTTAATCCTGCTTTAAATTTAGATAAGTTACAAAAGCATTTAAATTTTGTTTGGAAAGTCAACAAACACATTTCCACTCTGAATGAGTTAAATAATTCTGCTCCTGACTACCATACATCACAGATACCCTCCAGACAAATTGTTCCATGTTTACACAGATGGTTCAGCAGAAAATGTGATAAAAATACGGTGCTGGAAGTAAGTATTCACGTAATTTTAGTATTATATGTCCTGTTAAGAAGTACTTTGGCAATTTTGTTGAAGGGGTGGCAGCTATAACATATGTAATTGATAAATTACCTCTACTTTTTTATATTCTCAACATTTTATTGGGCTATTTGTCAACTAATGGCAGAAATGCTGAAGATGGGCATAGGATATATATATATATATATATATATATATATATATACTGCTGTGAAAAAAGGCTACATATGCACACTGTATATATAAGCAGTAGTTACTTCTGGTTATAAATATCTAGTATGTTATAAAAATAAACTCTTTAAATTATCTATCAAATGATGAATTTTTAATGTTTGTTAAGATCATAAGATAATGTTTAGATATACTGGTATTTTGAATGGAAATGAAAAGATTAAACACCGGTATAACATTTTTAAATTGGAGGTGCAGAAATTAGGTATTTTTGGACCTCCAAACGCATGATGCATGCATTGACACAGATATTAGTCAATCATCTATATACAGTCAAGAGTCTTTAATCCGGACTCGTTGGGATTTTGGCAATTCCGGATTATAGATAATCAGTTTAAATCTGGTAAGATGGCATGCAGAAATTATAAAATTAAAAAGATGAAACCATAACTTATGAAATAAAGAGCAATTATGATCTAAAGTGTATCAAAATTTACAAAAAAAAAAAAAAGCTTTATATTTATTTGTTTACTTTATTAAACATTTCTTTCAACGTGCACATCCATAAAGCATATATTACGCATAGTCGATATTAGAAAATTGCAACAAGAAAACTATTTGATGTGTATTCATGATATTTATAATGATGAGGAATTTGATTTAAATCACATCAGAGAACATCGAGATGAAATACTACATTTAGTAAGGAATTATAAGCCGAATAAAATAAAAACATCTGCCCTGAAGATAAAGATAGTGCTGACAGATCAACTTCCAGTTCATTGCATGCCATGTCGTTTCCCACCCCCTTCAGAGCAGTGTGAAATTGATAAACATATTTTGGAATGATTAGAGAATCAAAGGATATGCCTTTATCCATTTTTTGCAGCATTTCCACTTTTTGTTTGATGGACATCAAAACATGCTTTCACTTTGTAGATCTTTTGGCAGCTCCAGAATTGGAAACTCTTTTTGACATAATCGAAAGTTCAAGCTTACTTTTATAAAATTGCTCTAACAGTCTGCAAAAAGTAATAAGCCGGATCCAATTAGAAGATTAACGAACAACACAATCTGCAACATTAACTGAAATAGATAATTAGATAATTTTAGCTTAGCTTAGACCATCCGTTATACATTAAACACGCATGCATAGACGCATATGCGCATGCGTTAACGCATTATGCAACGACGCATGCGCAGAACGTTTGTAGCTTTCAGGTCCGGATTATGGACGTCCAGATTAAAGACTTTTGACTCTATGTATATATTACCGTGTGGTGACTGGGTGTGAAAGAATAGTCCCAATGTAGCTCATGCATGTCATAAAAGAAGACTAAATGGGTACCCAGTGTCGGGGGGTATAGCCCCTGGGAATTATATCAGGGGACTTTTCCTCCAGGTTGGGAGT